TCCTTTTCGAGTTCAACATGCACCAGAATCATTCTTTTTCACCTATGCAGCCAATGGTCTTTCTCACACAAGCCCAACCATTCCATTTACTTTTCTATCATGTTTTCACGTATTGAGATTATCTATACATTCCCATGAATACACTCATTTATGATTTCATCCTTTTGGAACTTCTACTCATCCATCTCAACCTCTGAATCTTAGCTTCATTCTATAGTCTGAAATTGATAAAGACATGTATATAGTTTGATCATTCAATGGAGGATAACTAATTGTTCCTATTTCATGCATCTTTAGCTTCTCCTGGGTGGTTTTCCTATGAGTCAAATCCTTCAAACCAAGTTATCCATTATAAACTAGTATAGGTGGTTTCCTGTGATAAGCAGGTTATACATGACACAACATGACATGAATGTTGGTGTGGTATATGAGTTGAACCCCAAGGGGCAACAATAGTTGGCCCCACAACTAAGTTTGCCCTATTTCAAAAAAAATTAAATCTCCCCTGCGTCTTCTTCACTTTTTGGCTAGATAGATTGAGACTTTATGGGTGGTGGGAATCTCGACAGCACCGTTTGGTGGTAGGCTTAGCAGGGCTGAACCTACAATATTAGATTTATGGGTATTATGTTTCAACCAATTAATCAATAACCCCCCATAGAGATCAACATGTAACCAAAACCTGAAGCCAGTTCAAAGGTCAAGTTGAGCCTCTACTCCACTGCCAGATTTGTCATCAAATGATCAAGTTATCATGCTATTTATGGAGAAAACTGCTTTGGATCCATTTTCTTCTATATTATGGAGGGTCATCTGCATTAAAAATCCAGAACTTCATTACTCATCTCAATAGACCTCTGAGATAGTACTTCTGATGTTCATCATGATCCCTTGAGCAAATTCACAAGCAGAAAATCATTTCTCATACCTAAAGCTGGAAGTGCCAACATTAAGCACAAAATACAAGAATTTAAAAATTTCTGAAACCATAATCTTGATGCCACTAGGAAAGAAGAACATGCACCCTACACATTCCATCAATCACTTCGTTGGCTCTATGTATCAGAGGGTCATTCTTCTTTCTCCCTTGATTCACAATCTCAGTTAGAATGATTCCCTTAATTCTCATCTCTTGATAATCTGAGGAAGGCTGTATAGGGAATTACACCAAAACTTGACAATGTTGAGCATTGTGCAGGGTTGCCCCTATGCATTATTTTCATAAAGTTCTACTTGGGGTTTTGTTCAATATACTCCAAATAAGAATTTTATGAGAAGTCTTTAGATTGCCAAAACCAAGCTCAAGCCAATGTGATAATTGAACATCTGAAGGTAAGGAAAAAGGATATTAATTATCAACTACCTGCACTTTAATTAGCTCAGTTTTCAAGTGTATCATATGTAATATTGTCCATATTAACACATGTCAAAGGTTGAATTATATTTCAATTGTATAAAAAAATTCATTTTCTATGGTAATCACAAAGAAACTTTCATATAAAGCTGGACTAAGCAATGAACTCCTAATTGTTTCACAGTTGATTCATTTCAACAAGGCCAATCCTACACTATCTATTCATAATGATCATTTATTTTAAATAGTAATAGTTAATGATAGCATCAAGTGATGATGGCAATCTTTTTCTGATTTTGTTAATAAGTTTGTGCTGGATGATTTATGATGAAGGATTTTGATCTCTTCTACTAGTTTCCCGGCCATGTAACAGTTACACCATGTTCCAGTAGAACCATTTAATGACAAATAAATACATCGATCAAGTGCAATCTGTTTCAATCTCTACTGTTATGAGAAACAAAAGGCACTGTTGCATTTCCAGTCTTTTTACATATAATTAGAGTTATTTTATACATGTCTACACATTTTACATTTATACCTGAATTACTCATAATTAACTTTGTTTTTCAGTGCCTTCACTCCATAGTCCATATCCTTGCCATTTCGAAATTTATGAAGTGTAAAAGTCTGTAAAGGGTGAATGAAATCACCATTCTCCAACACAAATTTGGGTGGTTCCTAGATACAAGTTATCAACTAATGGATTATGCTTACTTTGAATCCCAATGCATCTTATGATCACTAAGAAGCAACTGATAGTTATTCAAACAAGAAAAACACTATAATTGTGAATTATGTTGTCAATCACATTTGAACTCACTGAAATTCATATTTCTTTGTGAAATTGATGTACCCTTGAAAAATCCATTCTTTCCAACCTTTCCACATGTCTGCATTTTTCAAGACAAAGTGGGAAAGCAGTGCTACAATCAAATGCATAAGCAGAATTCCAATACATGATCATATGTAAACAATCACCTAGTTATCTATACCTCTTTAGAAAAAAAAAAATTATTGCACATCCTTGCATTGATGGAACAAGTTTATTCTTTTTAAACAGAAAACCTAAAAAATGTTAAGCTGCTAATTAACCTCATGAAAGGAAAGTCTTTCCTGATCTACACTTGAGGACTGGGTGTTCATGTTCCTTCACTACCTAGTCTGAGGGTGTGAAACAAGGATGAGAAATACCTAGATTGATGGAATACAAATTCCAAAATCCAACAATCATGGTAGAATCTAAAGAAGTAAGAATAATATTAAAAGATGTTATACACTCAACCCCTATAACTGTAAAGTAACTCATATATACTGCTCAAATTTGAATAAAATTATCCCTATTCCTAAATTTGACACCTTAATGTATTTTATAATGGGTTAGCCCATTATCCACCCTAAATTTGACACTTTATCCACCAACTGCATATTCATATGGAACCTGTGTTAGGTCAAGAATTACATAGTTCAACTGTGTATAAAGAGCAAGTTTTCAATCTTTACTACAGCTTCTGAATTCTGATGGTCACATTACCAAAAAACTTGATATAAATCAGTTTAAGATTCCAACACATTGAGGCCCCAAAATCATGCATAAGCATGGGGGTTTTTGTTTGACATACTGTTGCACATAGTGCTAATAGGTTGTTTGGGTTTACCAACTTGGTATGCATTCTTTTTATGAGGAGACATGATCTTATAATAATGTTTGTTGATGACAAGATAATCACAAATACTATGCCATGACATTCAAGTATCAATGAGGATGATGACAGAAGACCATGAATCCATACATGAATTCCGAAGAAGTTGCCTAAGTTATATATCATGCATGGAGCATATAAATTTTCAATTATAATATGATCATATAAAAACTGCAATCAGAAAACAAAATAATAAAGAAAAAAAATATATAATGACTGTAACTGAATACACATAATGTCATGATTGAGAATTCTATATTATTGGGAAGTCAGTTGGATTTGACCTGTGACATTGTGGGGTTGCAATGCAATGCATTGATCACTTAACAGTAAACTCAATCTTAAAATGAATGACAAATTAAATGGATTTGACCTGTGACATTGTGGGGTTGCAATGCAATGCATTGATCACTTAACAGTAAACTCAATCTTAAAATGAATGACAAATTAAATNTAATAATAATAATAATAATAATAATAATAATAATAATAATAATAATAATAATAATAATAATAATAATAATAATAATACTAATAATAATAATAATAGTAATAATAATATTATTATTATTACTATTACTAGTACTATTATTATTATTATTATTATTATGTGTTTGGGTTCTTATTAAGAGTCCTAGGTAAATATTTGTTGAGTGAAACTAAGAATATTTGTTCATTTATTTAAGTGTGCAGACTAATAAGGTGAGTGTCTAATTAAGAAAAAATGTTCATCAAATCAACTTATCAAGAGCAGGTAACATCTACAAAAGCAAAAAAGATAATATAAAGAGTAGAAATGGAAATGGATGGCCATGAAAATAGCGCGAGGTCAGCATTTATACTTGCTTTTTTCTTGGGTAAAAGTTAATTTCTATACTTTTTTTTTGGTAAAAATAAGTGTTCATACTTGCTTGAGCATCTAAGAAAAATGTTTCCATCAAGAGAGAGAGAGAGAGAGAGAGAGAGAGCGGGGCTTTATCCAGCTAGCTAGGTTCAACCCTTCAAGAAGGAAGAGACGAGACGTTACCATTGACAGGAGTCGTGTGTGGTTTTTTCCAAAATAGAGCCTATCAAAGTCTTAACGGCAGGTTGAAAGCATACTTTGATGTGAAAGCATGTACTCTAAGGACCCAACAAAGTCTAAAAGACCCCAAACCAACTTGTATGGAAATGACCCATTTGTGGAACCATCCAGATGTACGCAGGTCACATTGATCACTTACAAACACTCCCCTCCGCCCGGCCCCCCCGCCCCCCCCTTCTGCTTCTCGCAGTCAGCTACCCCCAATAAACCAAGATTATTCAAAGAATTAAAGCACCCGGAACCATTCTCCAGTAGAAGGTTCCAGATAAACTATTAGTATTAGTTTCATTTCGTTTCGTGTTTGTTAGATTAGATGTTTAAGTACTGTTCATTGTTCAAGCCTTCGAGGTCCTACGTCTATCTTGTGCATTTATTCAATCGATTCGATAACACAAAGATAAAAATAACATTAATAACTTAAGCCGGTCAAAACTCGGGAATGTCAAATCGGTGCTACAGCTGCTTTGCCTTAACTTCTCTAACGAAAACCAATGACGATCTCTCCCTCCCGAAAGTCCACAGTCTCCAATTAAACTTAAAATCTCCAGAGTCTTAACTAAGCTTTCTCAGCTCTGGCCTCTCAGGGTCAGGGACCTCCCTCCCACCATTAAGAGTTAAGACAATAAATAAGTAAATGTATTGTTTAAATTTATATAATAATGTTCGGTTTACTCACCAGACCAGACCAGACTTGACTCTTCGAGGTTGAGAAGAAGAGGTTCCTTTGTCTTTGCAAAGGAAAACCCAAATGGATTTAGAGGCTCCAATGTCATTTCTTGACCTCTTTTTTTTTATTTTTTTTATTTTTCTACAAAATTGAATCAATTCTTTCCATCATCTGAGAAGATTAGAGAACAGAAACAAAGCAACCCAGAAAAGTGCACAGGAGAATAAGCCTACTCAGAACATATCAAATTCACAGAAAAAAAAAGGAAGAACTAAGAAAAAATTGTCGACCTTGCTTGCTATGATACAAGGACACTAAAATAACAACGCTAACAAAACCATTCAGAAAACACAAATGAAAAAGAAGAGACAGAAAATTAATACGAAGATGATGATAAAGAAGAAGAGGAGCTCTCTCACTCTCTGCTTGCTAGCTTTCTCGCCTTTTCCACTTCCAATTTTGTTACGTTATCAGTGCTTCTGGTTTTAATAGGATGGAGGTGGACGAGGAGCCCAGAACACATCATGCGGCATCTGACCGTTGGGGAGCAGATTTGGCGGGAGATTATAGATGGGCATGGAAGACGAATCGGGTAGAGTATGAGGCTGAGATGCAGAAATACCAGTACTTCCCGAATTAACCCCTGACGATTGCTGTAATTGAATTCCCTCTCCTGCTGGTTCGTCTTCGATTGGCAGCCGCTCGTACGTCGCATTCGTGAACGTCGCTGCAATCACCATCACCGGTCCAGACGCCACGAGCGCACCCACGACACTACCACCCACCACCTGCCCTTGCCCGCCAGACAAGTAGACGGTCAGCCCGGTCGCACCGGGCGGTGACGGTGCGGGCAGAAAGGCCCCGGAGAGCGAGAGTATCTCGAAGCGTCCATGAAGGGAGACAACTGCGCCCGGTGCTGCAGGTTGACGGAGAGTAACATTGGTGACGATACCGCTGCCGCTTAGAACACAGACCCCACGCTGCCGGCGCCGAGCGAATGTGGCGATGCTCTCAGCAACGTCGCTACCGCTACTGATCTCCAGAACGTGGCTCCGCAGTGCATTCGGGCTCTCTCGAGTTATGATTATAGGGGGTTTGGGCTTGTTCTTCGATCCCGCTGGGCGGCCACGAGGTCTGCGGCCAGTACCAGCTTCGATAACCTCATGGCCGACGTTCTGGTCTTCTGCGTCTCTGTCGTTGTCCTTGCTGTCATCCTCATCGGCGTTGTGGTTGGAAGCGTTAGGATTGACATTACTGTTGCTGCCGCTGCTATTGGTGGTAGTAGTGGGGTCCATAAGCTCCTGCTCTCTCCTAGGACCTAGTCGCCCTAATCCACCATGCTCATCGTCTGTGTTTCGGAGGTGAAGGGAAGGGGTCGATGACACAGGATCGACCCCTCCCAACGCCACATTTCCTGCCCACCACCGATTTGCCAGGGCTACTTCTTGGAAGAAACACTTGCAGCCTGATAGGAGGAAATAATGCCGTGAAATACACGAAGAAGGGGGAAAGAAATCTTGGAGAAGACAATAAACCCTCTCCTCCTAGTCCTGGACTTTGGTTGGCTTTTTTTTTTTTTTTTGTCGATTGGATGTTTAATGCACCAAAACTGAGTCTCAACCCTGTCGTGGATTGAGACCAACTGGGAGATCCAGCTACCCAACTCAGAATATGGAGAGTCTGTTAATTTGTTCTATTTCTTGTTTTGATGCGAGAACTTGATGATGAAGAAAAACCAAGCTCTCCCTCTCCTCTCCCACTGCAGCAGATAAAGTCCAAAGACCTTATCTCTTGTCTGGCACCAAAGCTAATTTTCTTCCAACAGCTCTACCAAGCGGCAAACCATGATATTGAAGGAATCTGAACCTCTTTTACCCACATGCGTCTTCTTTTATTTTTTACTTTTGCATGAAACCCTAACCGATAGATTTCCAATTGGAGGCTGATGAGATCCAAAGAAAAGGATCGAAAAAGATAAAAATATAGAGCCACTCCAGGCCAGCTCCTGAAAATCCAAAGAAATGCAACTATCTCACATCATACCACCTGAAATCGTAGGAATCAGTTAAGGTTTGCTTGCACTTCATTCACCCCAACTTAAAAGCCTGAAGCCCAAGCCCCACTGTTGCACCTGCTTTACTGAAATAGATCTCTGTCCCAGTGTCCCCCCTCCCCCCTCGCCCCTCTTCTCTCTCTAGGCGTGTATAAAATATATATGGTAACGACTTTTGCTGCTGCTGTTGTTGTGGTATGTATGTTTGTACTGAGACCACTTTCTCTCCCTTTTTCTTTTGTATCTAAACTGAACAGAAAAGAGGAGGCTTTGCTTGCCTGAACAGATACGGCAAGTACACAAGAGGATGGAGAGATGGGTTTTTCAGCGTTTCTGGCTCAGAGAGTACGATAACTAATCGAGCACTACCTGGCGTACGATGCAAAATCGATCTCCGTGTATATGTTTGAGGAACAAGAACCTGCAAATCATCAGCAGATCAGTGATGGGAGGAGACAGTTATCATCGTCATAGCTCCATCACCCCTCTCTCTCTCTCTCTAGCATCTTATCTTTCTATTATGAGTATTATATCTAGCGATCTATCTATCCATATATCTACCTGTCTTCTTAGTCTTTGAATAGATAAAGCGGTGGGTGGTGACTGGGTGTGCTTGTGATAGCTCAGAATTCAGATTGGCGGTTTTGGCGTGTCTGGTTTTGTTGGATTCCTGGTTTCTGTTCTTCTGTCCCTCCCTCTCTTTCTTACTTGTCCGTGAAAGACAACTCTAATAAATTACAGTAAGGAAATGTGAGTACATTATTATGTATTGTATCGCAGTATTGGAGACGTAGTGTGGGGTAACGTGCGCGTGAGAAAGTGAGGAAGTGGGAACACGTCACTGTCCCGAGTCCCGACATGGTATCGAATGCCAAAGTCGGAGAAGATAATATAATATTACTAATAACTAGCTCTCTCTGACCCCACCGGAGCCAACCCTTCCCTGTTCATTTCCTTGTTCTCTCTCTCTCTTCCTCCCGGGGACCTGGTTGATTACCATTAATGCGTTTACTTAAGTAGTAGTACTAAGTACTAACATGGGATGGTTTTGTTTTGTAAGAACCTCTGGGTTGACCCGGAAATCGCTCTGAACCCACTCATTGTGACTGATCAGATTTCAGATCGGCCAAGAAAGAATTGGCATCTCAGATTTATTATGCAGTATGGTCTCAACTGATCACAAGGCCTTGTGCTATGACAACTGGGTCGGCTTGCCGCTTATCGCTTTTTCCACACTCAAAGCCATTTAAGCAAATTTGGAAGCTAAAACTTGAGTAGATTTTCATGAATGAATGACAATTGACACATACATATATAATTTAATGACTGAATAGCAGCAGATGTATACACCCACCCTTCTCATCAAAAGCTTTATTTAGTTGTTCGATTGAAATAGGTTTCATTTTTTTATTCTGTTTAAACTTTAAACTATCCTTTTCTTTTCTGTCTTTTTTTGGGGGATCGAGAATGTGTTCTATTGGTCTTCTGTATATGTGATTGACCGGGCAGAGCCAGAGATCAAATTGTGGCCAAAAATCTTATCACCTAACTAAAACAAAACATATATAGACCCATCCTATTGTTCTTTCTCCCCGTGTATTTCTTTGTCTGATTTCTTTGAGACAAACATTTTGATCTTCGTTATTATATTTAGAATTTTTATTTGATGTTGAATAGTTTATTAACAAATAGAGATTTTTGTTTGGTGTATATAGATTTTAGAGTCAATTCAATCGTTTTTCATTATCATTGCACCCAATTATCAACTTTTTATGTGTGCAAGTTCTAATTTCTCTCTTTCTGTATCAGAGAGAAACAGAGAGACCCACACTTAGGAGTCGATGATCCCACCACTCCCTAGCTAGAAACCCATTTTATCTTGGGAAAATAAACGAAGAGAATTCTAAAACAGAGAGGACTAAAAATAGAACGCATCCAAGGTTCTACACAAGCAAGCAACATCCAGAATATTGTTTGAGTGATACATTTTTAATGATTGATTGGGGGTGGCTTTTAAGAGTGCAAACCGAAAGGGAGAGGTTCCATGTGAATAGGGCTTAAGAGAGATTCCATTTTTAGGCCACTAAGTTGTGCGTGCAAGCGGTGGTGCGACTGGTGCAGTACCCAAATTGGACAATTCTAGGTTCTACGACCAAAATCATTCTCATATATAGATCCTTCATCCAACGAGTACTACCCCTTTTTTCCTTGAAAAAAAAAAAAAACATTTGTTTCGAAGAATTTTAACTCACAAATCAGAACAATCAAGTAAAAAGCTCCAGAGAAATTATTTTCAGGGTAGCTTCATGAGACATCCCTTCTGGGACCTGGGCCCTATTACTTCTTCAAAAGCACCCTCTGAATTCTGGTGTGGACTTTGGATCGTTGTTTGTCGGTAAAGTTCCATGTATATGCATTCGCACAAGTTAAACATTTTTCTCTTCTAATTAAACAAAAGCAGCACAGGTATCATGTGTGCTTCCGCATCTTTAGCTGATATATTTTTCACAGCTACAGCTTTACTGTATTCACTGTTCAAATTCCGTAGTTTGAACAGCTTGCTGAGTGTTCCTTTCTTCTTTCAAACTCAACCTGGGTCCTGGGGGAGAGAAGTAGACAGAAAGTTATCCCCTATTCGGTATTCCTCATCCAGCAGAACTATCTGTGGTGTGGTGACTATAAAAAGTTCCTCGATCAATCGGTATTTTGAAATCCGCAAAAAATAATAATAATACAAAAGGCTCTAAAATGAAATCGGCTAGTTTGGCGAACATTCTCTCACAATTTGGGAACTTCAATAATTAGCTAGCTATTCTCTCAATTGTCAACTCAATTTCCACCGTAATCTAATTATATCCCCGAAGAAATCCTTATCAAAACTTAGTAAAACTACTTTATTTTAAATTGTCCATATTGTTCTCTCCGGAGATTTAGAGTACTTGGTGTGACACCCAATTCACAGGTTTTGAAGTTTTGTGCAATTTTGGCATTGGTTCTTTGATGAGGAGCGATTTGGCCATTGTGCCACGTGGTGGTCCTGAATTGTTGCTTAACATCTCGAATCCTCGATGCCACGTAAGTAAGGCTGGTCTGTAGGCACCTCGGTCCAGGATTAGGTTGGCCATCACAGGATCAGATCGGCCAGTACTTGATCAGGTTGGCCATCTCAGGACTAGGTCGACCATCATAGAATGAATTCGGTCAGTACAGGATCAAGTCAACCATCTTAGGGTTGGCCATCTTAGGATCAAGCTAAAGACCTTGGCATCGGGGGCAACCTCTCGCTGTCGACCTAGCTGAAGCGCAGATAACGACTTGCATGACGTGGTGGCCGATCCCATCATGAGTGGACTATCGTCTTCAAACCCTTCAGGATCACATTGCCCCATTGATGGAGCTGACTCCCACCCCGCCTACTTCGGAGGCAACCGGATAAGTTCTATCATTTTATGCCGAATCTGACTCCGGGTGTAAAACCACCTCCGAACGAGATGGGCTAGTGATCTCGAATGTGCTACATGAGGCCCACGCAACCTTCGCACCTCATTGAACAGAGAAGGTATGTGCGATTTAACATTCACACTTTCTAGCTTTTAAATTCTCTTCACTAACTTAAACATCAGAGAGCACTAGATCACACAACATCAACTCTTTCTAATAATGCAGGTTTCTTCCTTTAATGCCATTAATCTGACTTCCAATTTTTGATGTATCTAACAGTAAATTTAATCGAGCAACAGTTTTTTTTTTTTGTTCTTTGATTGATTTGCATTTCTACTTATCTTCTCAGCATGAAGAATGTATCACCTCAGTCTTGACTTGTATCCACTTACATAAATGTAGAGACGTAGTAGGTCGTAACTGCAGTCGAAATTTGGCCAGTTTCTCCCATTAATACTCAAAACCAGCAGCCTGACATCAGCTGGCTTAATTAGTGGCTTAGTAGATATCTACTCATTCATGTTATTTGTTATTTTTGAATTTTTAGTTGTGTGATCCAATAAGAGATTGAGTAAACCATGAGCACTCCTTAATGTTTATCAATCATTGGACCTCTCTGAATTTTGAAGCCAGTGAGTGGCAACACGCCAGTGTGAATGGTTTACTGAATGAGAGGGTGTTCATAGGATCACCATTCACTATCAACGGTAGAGGTGGGATGGTGGGTTATCTGATTAGCTTAATCCCTTGAATGGTTACAATTGATGTCTGCCAGCAAACGCAACAGCCAACGATAAAAAAGCTAAAGCAAAGTAGTCATGCTTCCAAAGCTTAATCCACCGCAAAATTATGTATTATCAAATGTCTTTTGTTCCAAAGCCCAAACACTACTGGTGGAAGCTTAAGTGGAGGCCCCAAACACCATTTAACATGTTTATCCCCTTTTGCCTTTGTTTATTTGGCGCACTTATTTATATATTGAGCCCCCCCGCCCTCTCTCTCTCAATACCATCATGCTGCCAGGTGACTAGCTTTAGACGGTTTGTTGCAGATAAGAGTGGTGGAAAATTTTTTACCTCTATCTCTTTTGGTGCAAGATGATCTGTTGACTAATCGGACGCTAGCTCTACTGGTTGCCACGTGTCTTATTCTAAGAGGATCAAGGCCCATCATTCAGTGGGTAGCAAGTTGCACTGGTAGGGCCAAATACATGCTTAATTACTGTTTTAATAGTTGGATATTTAAATGAAATGAGTTTAGTGAGCAAGAGACATATTGCAGCTGAAGCAGAGATTAATGGTCAAAACCTAATCTTTTGAATCTGAGTTTTGACATGGGGGCAATGTCTTTGCGGGCTTGGGTCCAATTTATAAAACAAAGAGAGCAATGGGAGCTGTGAGCCCAGCAAGCAAGACACTAGACACTTATGAGAGTGAGAGTGAAGCATGATGGATTGGACATTCACTTCATAAGTGCCAATTGGCCCAAGTTCGATCTAAACGAAGCAAATTAAGCATATCCCATCATCGCTTATGTCCATTCATAGTCGTAGACTCGTAGGTAAAGGAAAAGAAAGAAGAGGGAGAGAGTATTAGTGTATATAGCCCATCCACATGGTGGGTGGTTAATGTAGCGTAGCGGTCCATGGGCCATATGATAAATAACAATACTACCACCTTTGAACATATCAAAGCACATGGGTTGTTGACATAGGAATTAGGAAGAGGGGATCTACATTTTAATACGCACATGGGATCGTTTTGGCCTTTGGGTCCGATTTCTGAATCCGTGGTATGGTCCGCAACCAAATTACTGGTGGAATTTATGAGACACGTGGCAAGATGGAGGGGCCCTAAACTTTTCTACCAGTCTCGGAATCCCCCATACTACCCAAGTTTTATGGTAGTTCTTTGTTCTTCTCTTTCTAGCTAGCTAGTTTCTCTCTTGCTTTGTGTCTCATCATATGTATGATGTATCCCGACCCATTCATAGACATAGACATAGACATAAAGGAGCATATATTATATTTATATTATTATTAAAAAAAGTAGAGACTATAGAGTGTATTATTATGCTTCGCTGTACAAGCTTTTGCTCATGCATCCAATTGATAACTTACAATCTTAATTAACCTTGTTTGGCAACAAGAGTCCACCCTCTCAAGGGCTGTTACGAGGACTAATAAAGTTGATTGTTCGCCAACCAATCAGTTGACTTTTTTATTTTTTCCTTTATTTATTTTTAGGACAGGGTTTGGTTTGGTGTGGAGTGTGGACCACTGGGCACTGCTACCTATAAAACTCAAGAAGACAAAGCAATGCATCAGTCGTTATTTGAATTATTGGATTGGAATCTCTTATATTGATTCATAGGATTTGTACAAACCCACTGGCCGCTGAGGGTGGAACTGGAAATTAAATAACCCAAATGCTCATCAAGTAAATATATATATAAGTCTATTTTTGAATTTATGAAATAATCTCATTATCATCATCATCATCGTCAACATTTGCCTTCAGGTCTATCCAAAATAATCTGTTAGCAGTTAATAGGTCACAGTAGCTGCTAGGTCCCGAATCCTCATCTTCTGGGCGGTGGGCATAAGACAACAGCACAGCACAAAATAACAAATAACGGGGCCCAAACATCAACTCTAATTAAAAACGCAAGAGAAGCAACAACATCTCGTCTGTTATTTCACAATACAATGTCCAAAAGTTTGGTCAAATGAGACAAATGAGACTTGTACGCGTCTGTCTATCTGTCTCTCTCTCTCTGCTCTGAGCTAAAAAGAGAAAAGAAGAATAGTAAGTTTGACGGTAGAAATTAAAGCCATGTTGGTACGCCATTACTTCATTTAAATTAAAATTCAACAAGGGCTACTCTACTCTTCTTCATTCATGTGGAACCAACTATATTCGAGTCCATTTGTTTATTATCTTTTATTTTGGGTTGGTACTTGGTAGCAGAAATATTACTTAACTCAGGAATTGTAGCCCTGTAGGTGTGGATAAACAAATATGGGGGGCCGGGTGGGCCAATTTATGGAACATAGCCTTAAAATTAGATCAACTGACTCATCTAACTGCCTCTGTAAGGTCACAGCAGCTCGCATGCATGGTTGCAAGAACTAGTCTAACTATGGCCTGCCTCCGCCCTGTCCAACTGGTAAATCCTCATCCATTGTTACCAAAAATGGAAAATAACCATCTTCCTTTCTCAAATTTGAACTGCTCCAATTTCTCATATCTCTCTCTCTCTCGAGTGTGCAAGTGCATTCTCGTCAACCACTCGAAAATGGTCGATGTCGAGTACAGGATTTTTAGGGGCGGTTTGATAACAACTGAATTCAATTGAATTGCCAATTGGTTTGTCTTCTAGTGAATAAGCAATTAATTAGAAAGCAAGCTCTTTAATTGCTCAATGATATGTCAGGACGAATATTTTACCTCTAAATAATATATACGTCTTTACGTTACAATACACTAAGGCAYCGTTTGGGAAGAGGGTGAAACCCGGTTCGATGGAAATATGCACCCCGGGTCAATTTTTCTGCCATTTAGTAAAGCTGTAAATAAACCTTGAAAATCGAGGGAAATATGTAATCTTGTCACTCAAGTTTGGGGTGTAAATGCACATCAACAAAAACAAAGTAAATTTGTGTTCTAATAGAACACTGATTTTCTCTCTTAATCACATCTTCTTGTCGAGGAACACCACAGCAACAGTTACTTTTCAACGTCTACCTATCATCGTCTCAACCTCCGACAACGGAAACGGAGAACTGCTGTTCGAGCTCCCACGGACTTGACATCGACATACGGTGTCGGCTATTCTGAAGACCTTAGAACATCTCAGGTATGTTCTATGTCCTCCCCATGGAGATTCACCGGTGATGGAAAGACCAAAGACATCATATCGTCACCGTATTTCATAGTATTTGAAAGGGATTTTTTTTGTTTTGTTTTACAGGCAATAGGATTCGACATAGTTCTCATTCATTCTTCCACCTACTAAACAGTTGATTCTTGATACTCGAAGATACATAGCCTCTGACTCTTGCATGTTCTCCATATGTTGGTTTCATATGTTCTTCTATTATATGATTTAAAATAAATGTAGCCTTTGATTGTCACATGAAGATATTTTTTTTTTTGGTGGATGACAATATTATGAAAAATTCATGTTTTTTTATCCCATTACACTTCCTTTGGTTTAGTTCCACGCTTACTCCATTTTTTTTTTTTTGTTTTCAATCATTTTTTACTATAATGGGTTGTTCCATGCTTACTCCATGTTTAGTTCCATGCTTACTCCACGTCACATGAAGATTTCAATCATTTTTTTGAATCCATTATTTCTATAATGAACCTGATTTTGATATTCCCTTTTCTGAGTATATGTAATTAGACATCATGCTTTCTTTCTTTTTTTTTTTTTTTTTGCTTCAACTTGCCAAAAGTGTTTTATTTCTTTTTTTTTTTTGTGAGCCTTCAACTCATTATTGAGAATTGTTTAAAATATAATTGCATATAAGATGAAAAAAAAAATTATGTGGTCTTGAAAGAATGAAAGCCGAGGGTGTATGAATCATGGCTAGAGTGTCAGGCACAGATATGTGGCTATAAGAGCAATTCTTATTGCTCATACTCTAGCTGGTCAGAAGCAGAGCAAATGTATCGTCGGTACTGTACTGATGCATCAATTGATAATAATAAGGGAGATGAGGTGGTGAGTAAACCATTGCATTCATCTTTGCTACACTTAACTATCTTAATTTTGCTCTCCAAGTACAAGTATGAGATGACATTATGAACATGACGACATTATCCTTTTTCTAGTTTAACAAGGATACAATTATTGCCAATGTGGGGTTGAATCCACATGTAGGTCACTTTAAACTAGGATACCAATAATTCAAATTCATTGAGGTTTTATTCAGATCCAT